GTCAATTGTCCTAAGCCTTCCTCCGTAATTCTGTGTACACGTACGGGCAATTCCCGTTACACTAAGTTACCTCAGATAGTGACTCTCATTCAGCCAAAAAGTTATGTGGACATATAAAAGTATTGTAGGGCAGAAAAGGCGCTAAGAGAAGATCAATATTGATTGTGATGAGCCGAGTTCATCATATATCATGAAAGAGACTACTATTATTGACTTCTGTAGAAGGGGAAGTGCAAGAAGAGAGAGAGCTATCTCTTCAGATGCAATATTTCACTATACGAAGATCCCACCACTAGTGCTGCAACAGGATCGTAGAGTGTGCTATCAAATTAAATGCGATTTCGAAATGAAATATCGTGTCACATGTCAATGACTGCAGCACAGTGTCGCGCCTTTTGCGCTCTACTGCAGGCACAAGAGTCACGCTGACTCTTGTTCAAGTCATAATGTCCTGGTAATTATTTAAATTGTCTGTTGTCGCTCGCCGCGCTTGTGTGCAGCTAATACACGCCAATGCGAGAAAGCTTTCCACTCACACTGCATGAGAAATGTACGCGAAAACGTCGCTTGGCGAGCACTTTCTTAACTCACAGGTAATCACTTCCCAGGAGTACCGCCTGCGCTCACAGTAGCTAGTGTTGGGAAAACCGTACTCTCCATGAGGAACGTATATTAAGTACTTGTTGATGATAAAAATTCCAATAATTATTAGATTCAGCTTGAGCACTGGATGAATAAAATATGCCCGATCGCCATTCTTGAGGCTTTACAGACCAGCTTCAGCGAAGCAGACGATCGTCGTGTTATGCGTGACGCTACAAAGTACATAGCAAAACACGGGCGTCATGGCGGTTATTCAGCACCTCATCTTCAAACTACTTATAGTTTTGCTCATTCTTTTGCGATAGCTGTGATTACTGCCTACCAAGATTACCATTCACTGCAAGGCTGTCTACCAGTGGGAAAGGCGATACGATGGGCGACACTCCTTTTTCTCAATAAATGATAAAAGTCGAGGGTTTGTCAGGTCATAAGTGACCACTGGCCTGCCAAATTGAAACCCCAAACGAGCATGAGGAATACGACTGAGGAAATTTATTAATTTCTTTAGGTACAAATGCCAGCCTGGTGTTCTTGTCAACCACTAAATATATTCGCGTGAGAATGGACCATTCTTCCTCATCAAATATTACCGGCAGAGGTCGGCCCTGCTGTGATCGCTGTCATAGGATCCTTTGATTACGACAGCTTTGTTACTCTTTCTCTCTGAGATTCTCGGCGTGCTGCTGGATCTGTAACGGGTTTTCATGTGCCCTGGTAAGAAGGGTGTGGGTCGCACAAGATGGTGCTATCACACAATGATGTAGGGTACAAAATTTTGAATTTACCACACAATGGTGTGGCTACACTTAAACAAGAAGTCAGGACGTGGCTGAAACAGCCAGTAGTATTAGGTTTTACTATATAGGTGGGGGAACCTATAGATTCATATATAGGCGGCTCTGTCGCAAATAAAACCGAGAAAGTAGCTCTCGTTTTAAACAGAAGAGTTAATAAGCCTTGGATTGAGGTTGTAGTTACTCTTGGAATAAGTAAGTTTCGATCCGCTATGATCGTACTGGTACTAAGTATAGAAGGAAGGTCACCGAACTTAACCAAGCTTCCTCTAATGGAAAGAGCTACGGAAGCCCTGCTACAAAATCTGTGATGAGTTCAAATCCGGGTTCACCCTCTGATCGTTGCTATCAAATTCTGCTGACTTTTGACACTCCCAGCAGTTCATATTAGCGTCGCTGCTTCGGGGTAGTTGTATGTAGCTAAGCTGCAACGGATGGTGAGGTCGCTTATCTATCGGCAACTAACTCTTCATACTCGAATGGCTCGTAACGAACGACTAGCGGAACCGTGGTATGGCTCGCGTGGACGACAAACCTCTATTGATCACAAACGACGCAGACGCAAAAGATATAGTCTGAGAATGGCGGGGGCTTACTTCATCGCAATTTGCTTCTTGTCTTAAACAAAACAGCTCTTCTTAGCAGATTTATGCTGGCGAGACTCATACGCGATCACACATTATGCTTATCAGCATTTGCCAGGAGTGAAGGAAATACTATTGCAAAGACTATTGCAAAGACTATTGCAAAAGACTGAAGTATCACAAATGACGCGAAATAGCCGGTCTAAAAAACAAAAAAAGCTGGGATCAGGGCGCAAATAGATTGTTTCCACATCCTTAAGGCAGAGTTTTTGCCCCAAACCAGCAATATTTTATACTGTTTTTTGAGATTGTTGAGGGGTGCTGCCATGTCGACACAGTTTTCACCGTACTTTTGAGACAGTTGACCAAGCCAAACCACCTCCTAAAGTTCTTTTTAGGCAGAGGCACAATCCGCAACGGCCCATATATTTGCGGGACCTACCACAGGCCTTCCATTCCAATAAACCAACACAAAATATGACTCTCTTCCGGCGCCAAAGATACACTTGTCTGTATTGGCGAGAATTCATTTTAGCCGCATACACTATAGCACCGCTCGCGAGTACTTAGTGTAAATCTCCTCATCCTGCTTCCCATGCTCTGCTCATTTACGAACGAATAGTTTAATGCTTAGTCGCAATGTGCTTTGGATAACTGTGTCGCCAGACTATTGAACGCTGCTGGTGTATTAGACGATACATGTGGCATATCAGCCAGCTTCCAAAGCAACCCACTCAAATCACCTTTAGTACGATAGACTTAACGCTATCTAATATCCATCAAACAATTTGATGCCACTAAGCAAATTGCAGACGATCATGCTGTTTTGGATCACACCTTCCCCGTGATTCGGCATTTGCACCGGAATCGTGGCTGCATTTATAAGTACGTACCATTATCTTTTTGCCGTCAACCTTTCTGAAACAGAATGTCGACGCCAAGTAGACAATTTGCTATTTATCATCAGACTTGGTCCGTGTTTTGCACGAAAGAAAGCGTAAGAAAGTCACACTGCTCTCTTGGTAAGAGCGAGTGCCGTTTGTCGCAATATTTGGCCCCGTAAATCAAGTCCGAGCGTTACACGCGAAATGGGTCTCTCTTCGTCATATTGTAAATGCTTCCAACATATGATAAAAAATGTAGAGTTCGTAAGCACATATGCCTTACTCCATGCACTCAGTGCCCTGCAATTCTTTTTGACGGATGACGATCTTAGCTCTTTTTCCGATACCACCCGTACTAGGTCCATGTTTTCATCATCACACATATCTCCGACGGATAATTCCTCCAGCTCCATACCACCTTCAATTGGAGGTAGTCGGGGGCAACAATAGCCCACAGGATCAACCTCGCTACTCCGTTCACGAGTGTATAACCTTTCTCTTCACTGACCCCTGAAATTTTACTGCATCACACCAGAATGGTAGTGCTGACTCGGCAGTATCCTCGTATCGTGACACGAGATCCGAATTATCTTCAGGTCATGGCCCTTATACTCACAACTTACAGTCCTTCATCAACTCTTCCGGCTTGGGTACAAAATATTGCCACACTCTCCACTGATCGTGGTACAAATGACAGCAATTCACGGATCAGGTTTTGGTCCCGCCAGTGATACCCTCTTGGACCACAACAAACAATCGTCCTTGTCTACTTCTCGCGTGCAACCTCCTAGATTGGAGACTGTGAGAACGACGGGCAGTCACTCCGTTTAAAGTGCGGCGAGCAAATATATTAACATCGGTTTTTTACCGACAAACCAACCGCACCACGAAATCTACCCAGCACGCTTCACCCTCACAGCTATGACGCCCAAGCGATCTCCTCCTATGTAGTGAAAAATACATCCACTGGAAGTTTAACATGCGTATGACGCTGGCGCGAAAGACGTTGCTGGCGCACGTTCAAGTCGTCAAGGGGGAAGAGGAATTTAAATAAGCTTGGCTGCGAAAACGACGCCAAGGCGCTGAAAAACCATCGCTCAGTGTATCGAACGTCCAAGGAAGAAAAAAGGTGGCTTTAAGGGAAAGTGCTCTAAGTGTAATCGAGTAGATCACATGAAACGAAATTGCCCAGGCGGACGCGATGGCATTGATGAAGACACAATATTCGCTGTTGGCAAAAATCTGATTGATGGATGGCTGATCGATAACGGTGCGACATAGAATATGACACCATACCGTGAGGACCTATTTGATTGTGACAATACGATCCTGGGCATCAATGTGACCATTACAGGGAGGTAGAAACTGCGTAATCTTGGTAATGGAACTGTTAAGCTGACTGGGATAGACGGTAAGCACATCAGGATGCTAGATGTTTTATACATTCCAGGAACGAATTTTCGGTCAATAAAATTTTCTTATCCAATGAAAGGGAATATCTTTCTTTCCTGTCCTCGAAGGCCTTAACATTTGACATCAGCGACATAGAGGATCCTCCGTTACTCCGCCGGAGTTCGCTTGAAGAATTCCAGAATGTGGAAAACACGCGCATTCTCTAGTCTGTTGTGCGCTTCCAAGTGGGCGAGAACCGCTCTGGTCTTTTAGCCGCCAAATCTTTACTCTCGTCGGATTCATAAAATTGCTAGCTGGTCTACTCGTCCCGAGGACCGATACTCGAGCATTATATGTTTAGGTTTTAAAGATGATGGAGTCCATTCACGGCTTAGTCCTAAATTGACTACAAACGCTTTTCAAGTTTAACGGGCTTGTCGTGCACTTTGCGCAGACAAGCGCACAGAGGTTGGGCTTGTTCGCTTCTACCAGGGAGCGGAACCGAGAGCCTCCACTGTAATTAGGTGTGATGTATGTTCTGACATATAGGATAAATGCTAATCGGACAGTTTTTTATATGCTGGTCATATTTTCTAACCTGTGGGCTAGCTTCCTTTTCAGAGTTCAAAAGTACGTACATGTAAACATTCATAATTTTACAACGTAGATTTCCTTACAATTGTGCTGTATTATTTATAGTACAGCTGTAAAAAGTCAAAATTTCATGCTCCATTCCAGAATTAGTTTCTGTGGCATTCAAGCAAGTATCACAACTGTGTATTTTTTATTGCCGATTAAATTACATTTTCTATCTTCAACGTAGCTTGCTAACACATGTTGCATCTAAAATTAGGTGAAAGAACCTCAACTTGGGTACTAAAGTCTGGTCAAAACGTTGAAGGAATCAAGTTCCCATCATGCGCCACTAGCATCAAAGGAAGCGACTTCCTGGCAAAATCAAACAACAACTTTGACAGGAACGATATTCTGTTCTGCTCCGTGTCTTCTTCATTGTGCAAATTAGCTTGTAAATAAGCTATCGACGACTCATTATGAAGTTCTGCTATCCTGCTACTATTGCGCTCACCGCTGTCGCTACGATTGCTCACGCCACGGATTTATGTGGTCCAAGTCGTAACGATAATAATGCACTTCAAGCTGGACAATTCAAAATCTACCATAGCTCCGGAGAAATTCCTGGTGAGCTTTGTTCAGCAGTGGATTCTGCTACCGACCACACGATTGCCTTCCACACAAATGCGAAGATTCCCGAAACCAGCTCGGGTGGGACATCAGTCTTGGACCCTTTAACGTTTGCTGCTGCACAACTGCAAGTGGAATCGAAGAGAGTTGGAGAGATCAAGTCCATACCTGTAACACTATTCCACGAGTACACGTACGAGGGCAAGCTTTCTGCAAATGTCGGTCTCAGCTTGACCATTGGAGACGTAGATCATGCGTTTGATCCACTCGAAATCGTGATCTGGATGGCTGGATATGGTGATTATCTTCCTGCATCAAATGCCCAAACTACTAGCACGGTGGTTATTGGCGGGAGAGAATATGACAAGTACCGAAGGATCTCTCCGCCCAAAAGGGCATGGTACGTGCCAAGAATGGCGATGTATGCCTATACGGATGATCTGTATCCTTTTATCAACGATTCTGCGTTCTCATATGATACCACATTCAATGATTACGTCCATAAAGTACAGGCTATTACCAGGATCATTACCGCTGAGAATGCCAAGCTCACTGTGACGAATTTCACTGCAGAAATTCTATGATTCGGGCATCATTTCACCTTTTAGTTCCAATATAATCTCAATTTGTTGTCTTTCTTATGCTCTGGATTGGCGCTTTCTTGATTTATGTTGATCAAAACTTGTTTACGTCCTTGTTTTCGTTTTTGCTCGTATTTAAATATTCGCTTTGATTAATGATCTTCCACACGATATTTAATTACTCGAAGCGTTGCTTAATTAGCTGAAAACTAGCTGGATAGTTTTCACAATGTTTGTAACAATTTAATTCATAACCTCATATTACGTGCTTGCATTACATGTAGACCATCTACAAAAACGTGCAACATAGAATCAGAACGACAGTAAGAATTTCAAATCAAATCTTTGGAAACCCCTTTTGAAGATTACGCAATCTCAGCCTAAAGCCCACGGATACATCTGACCATTGAAAATTAAATCAAGTCGAATATTTGACGTTAAGTGGATAAACACGACGACAAGCTTGATTACTAGCTAAGTGTTTAGAAGAAGAATGGTCCGTCAACCTAGAAGTCAGCCACAACCCATTTCAGATGCTTTGTAGGCATCTGTCCAGAAGGCGCTGTCCCAAAAAACCAGCATCCTTACACACTCCCTCTCCCAATAAAACTATGAAGGAGCATGTTTCAGAATATAAAATATCAACCAAATTTGCCATATGCTAAGTGCACACCCTCTTTGTACAGTCTCATAGCTAGTGAATCAAATCGTGTACTTTGCATGCGGAAGATAAATGCGCCACAATTCCTAAATCTTTCAGAGTGCTAACAGATGGGGTACTCGCTGTTTTATTACTACTTTGATAATTATGACAGTGATGGCTTCTCCAATCAAAGTATTTTATCAACTTCTGAATAGGACCGTCAGCATCTACGTGTTCGGTCTTCGTGCTAAAATGCTCGGAGATTATCCGGTTTTCTGCTGTAATTATGTGATTTGTTTTATAAGCAAATGCCCAAAATGCGAGTAGATTCTGATAAATAAAGTCACAATTTATTTTTCAAATTGAAAAACATCTTAACAATATATTTCGTTTTCCGAGTGCAAATTGTTTTGGTGGGCTATGTGTCATATTATAGTTTAGGAGCACATGACATATCAAACCAAGTTCAGAAGTACCAGTTGCTAACGACGATGACCAAAAATGTTAAGGTCACTCTTTCTCAACAACTTCGTATAAAAAGTGTCTTTTTAATGTTAAGGATTTGAATGCCTTCACTCATGAAGTGGTGGTCTCGTATTGGTACTATGCCTTTTGATAGTTTTGATGGATGCTTTTATTTTGATTTGCACTAGTATAGGCTTCATTTTGCAGAAAATTCTAGTCAATGATTTACTAAAAATGTTAAAAAAACCGCTTCGGATCATTCTGATGAAATGCTCAATAATCAGAGCTGGAAGGATGTCTTGCACATATCAGTACCTAAAGATAGTGCAGTATCAGCGTTGGCCTCATCATCGTTTCCAGAACGCGATGTGATTCTTTTTATCTGTATACCAGAGTGGGGATTGCAGCTGTTGTGCTTCTTCTATATCCCCATCATTCGAATTTGTATCTGGACGCTTGGTGTATGAATCTAGTCTGACTATCAACCGCATAATCTTCCAGAGGTATCTCCAGCATTTCCAAATTTACCCCAGCTGACGAGAAGATGAAGCTCAAGATCTGCCTTGCTTGTCTTACTGTCGGTGTTGCTGCCTCCCTCACTGTTCGCGAGTGTCTTGAGAGTTGCGCGAGAGAAAAATCGCAGGAGTATCAAAAGTGCTGCGCTGATATACATTTAACACTTGATTGCTGTAATACAATTTGCGGGACCGGCTCACGCTTACTAGCAAAAACCAAATGCTCTGATCTCGTTCCATCATAGACAGCGTGTTATAACAATCGCTTTTGAGACCGTTTTAAGGTAAATCACAAAGCATTCACGGAATAAAAGCCTTGTAAAAAAAATTTCTCATCTTGTGTTATTCATCTATACTCTTTCAAACAGAACAGTACACGCTGACTAAATAGGCTTGAATGGGTCACTAGGCGTAGCAATTGTTTCGCTTGCCATGATTTCCAAATCATAGCTCACGGCTACGATTACTGCATTGATGGCATCAGTGATAACATTAAAAAATGAAATTAAACGTGCACCAGATCTGCATGGAACAATGATATCTTTTTCGCTCCACATTTTTAACGACCCTTCGAGCGGTGGTAATGAGCCTTTTTGAACGGTTGCTCATAAATCCTGACATACTTTTGATCTGAAACGTCGTAGATAAGATTATGAAATCCGATAATCAAACGCGATGTCTCTTCTATCATTGTTTAATGAACTAGCACTCGGCTGACAAGGCATTTCTTTGGCTTCTTAATACTAGATCTTTTGCTACACGGTTGTCATGTAGGCTAGATTCACACGCTCAATACAGGAGAGTCTCTTAAATTATAGTTTCGGAGAATGCTTAGTTTAATATGGGCCTCTTGCCTCGTTTACACGTGATTTTAATGGCCTGCATTGTTAGACATAGTGCAATAAGGTATGAAATGTTGATGATGGCTTGACATAAAATTTTGAATGCTCAAGTTTTTTTATTCAGTTTATGGACTTGAGCTTATGCCCCAAATCATGACATGATCAAAGCAAACGGTGCATTTAAAGTAACCATGGTACGGACCAGCAATCCACTAGCACGCCAAACGCCAATGAATTACCCTTCAATTTCGAGCATCTTAGGGCTTCCAGCCTTTGAACCCATGCTCTGGATTGTATCTAGGGAGCTATATAAAGGGCAGTAATCGAGTCGCAAACCCAAATTGTTGAGAGTTTAGGTATTTTATAGCCAATATGTCTATTGTTTTATTGCCAAATACTTCGCTACACCCATGATGTGAGGAGCTTATCTTGATCAAAACTGAATGTCGTACCCATTTGCATCTTTGTCATGGAACAGATACGTCTTCACTTGTATTTTAGACACAATTTGATGTTTTGCTTTGGCCTCAAAAAGTTTAATTCGCAAGCATTAAATTTGATTCATTCAGTACGCAGAAGATGCGCAAACTTACAGGACTATCCATCTACATGAATTCATAGCTTACAGTGAATGACACAAACTCCCATCATGCGACACTTGCAAGCATCAGCTGGGAAATACAAAATCGATTATGGCTCCGAAGATTTATTTGGTGAGCTTTGATGGACCGTAGATTCTGTTGCCGACCACTAGATTGCCTTTCACACGAACGCGAATATCCCAGAAACTAGCTCGGATGGGGCAGTAGCTTTCAATCCTATGACGCTTGTTGCTGCTCAACTGCAAGCGGACTCAAAGAGAGTTGGAGACATCATGTCCATACCTGTAGAGCTTAACCACGAAATCACTTCAAGAGGAAACAAAAATTGGTCTCAGCATGACCGTTGGTTCTCCTGATGGTTCGATTTCCCCAGTTGACATTTTTTGGTGATGACAGGACCAAGCGATTTCACTCCTGAATGATTCTCCGGTGAGTCTACTGAATCTGCGGTGATCAACGGGCTTAGACTATGTTTCATACCTCACAATCGTTTTTCTTACTATTTCAGACAATTTATGGTCTTCGTATAGTCATAGATTGCAAATATCATACTTGTGGGCAGCTATGTGATAGGCACTGTTGGTAGTATCAATTTTTCTTTTAAAGTCACGACGTTCACTGCGCATGAACCTTATAACTTGTAAGCATAATGAGCTCCCATCTGAATTGACCTGCAGAAAGCTTTGACTTAAAGAGTTTCCATAATACGCGCATAAAGGTTGGGTTTGCGGCTTCACCCAGGAATTCATACAATTTGATACTTAGCTTGTTCATTAGTACATATCAGGAATAAATAATGACGGCGAGAATCAAGGTTACGTGGCTCTCTGCTGCGACTTCGCCTTGCGGGGACGTGCTCTATGAGCAATAACTCTCGTAGCACTCGATTATCGACTAATGTCAAGGCGAATCACATTGAAGCGGCGCTGATTGAATCCAAGCGCTGGAAGAAATGACTGTGCCTCACAGTCCCATTACCCCTGGGTGGGACGCGGAGTGTCATGGCAGCGCGTACATTCTTCCAGCAAGCGCACAAAGAGCAAGCGCCACTGGCCCTATGCCAGCACAAATACCCAATCGACGCAGCCGTGTACTGAAGTACCGGCTGTGCATTGCCTCACGCGTATCTGGCCAAGACGCGAAAAGTTCGGCACCTATGCGTTTATAGCGTTATCTTTCTGAATGAAGCGCGTCACGTCAACTGTGATGCGTCGTGAGTGTATATGTAAACAGTTCTCTCCCCATGCACCACGCGGAATCACATGAGGAACGCCTTCATCGTATGAATCAGCAACCAGAATATATACTAGCTACCAACCACTACGCTTGTATCAGGAAACCTTGCAAACTTGATCTTCACAAAAATTTCATTTCAACGGCAATGATGACAAGCCTCATACTCTATGTCGATGATCTGCTCGTCGGTTGCACCACAGATGTTGAGGCAGATGCGATTCATGATGCACTAAGTGCCAATGTTTACTGTGCGATCACTTTGCGATGCTAGATATGCTCTCGGGATAATGATTGAAAATACACTGATGCTAGATATATTTTCGGGATAATGATTTGAGTATACTTCACAGAAGTAGAAGCTTATGTCAAGGCAGACCCAGTTTAACAAGTGAATGCTCAAGCGATCGGGCAAACTGAGGCAAATGCTGTGTCCGTATGGTTGGTCAAGACTTTTCGCCAGACGAATCGCATCAGGCGCACAAAATGCTCTAGGCAACTAGTGTATATCTTTTTAACGCTTGATATTAGCACTCGCAGTGCCCGAAAATTCCGTGTGAAATGCACTGGTGGGCGGTACTGCAAGTCCTAAACTATCTCAAAGGCACATCTACACATGAAGTGCCGCTCTGCGCTGGAACTAGAGCTCGACTGAGTATTAAGGCCTCTGCAGACGCAAATTGGGAAGGTGACAAGCACACGAGGTGCTGTAAGTCTGGAGTATTGTTGCTGCTGGCAGGTGAACCGGTAGCGTTCAAGAGCAAGCGGCAGGTCACGATGGCTCTGTCTTCTACTGACGCTGAGTATATGGCACTTGCTTTGGCCACGCAGGAGGTTATGTGCCTACGCTACCCGCTGGTTGACATAGGGTTCAAGGCTCCGCGCAAAAGGCGTCAACACGATTTGATTAGACAACCACGCCTCGCGCACTGCACATTGACCACGAGCTCGTTTTGTGCGAGACTACGTCGAAGCAGGACGCATCAAGTTACGCACATGCACACAGAGGGAACTGGCCGACTTCTTTATTAAAGCGTTGCCAGCGCCACGCCTATTGCTGCGATGTTAGAAGAGCGAAATCGACAATGTTCAAGTTGATGGGGAGTGTGAGGTGTTGTGTTGTGACATCACGTCACAGATTCATGTACGGTGCACAAAGACAATTTGCAAGGAGACGGACAAATATTAATGGATCTGCACGGCATTGAACGAATCCCATTCCAACAAATGCAGCTTGAATAGTCGTGTACCAGACTGCAGCGGCTTGCTTCAGGCATAAAGACTTCGCCGCAGCTTGCATACAAACCCGTCGTCAGCCCGAACACCTTGTGGTACGGCCGTGTACACATCTTATAAGAAACGCGGTTCCAGTGCCAGATAGTCAGATCTTCAGACGCTTGTTGCAGCACGCCGCAGGAACACGAGAATAGTAGTGGTGCTCGCCACCGCGGGGTACGTATAGTAGTTGTCCGCGGAGGAAGTTTTGCAAATAGCCAGGTGCCATAAAGCAAGCATTGTATCGCACAATGCTGCTGTTCTTATAAGATTTGTGTGCAATTCCCCCTTGTACCCGATAACTCGTGCATTATGCGGGCTCCTGAGCAAATCCCAAGAATGATTGCAAATGTGTGGAATGAGTTCTTTGCGAGTAGCTATCCACGGTTTGGATTCAGGTGATGCTATCGCTTCTGTATAAGTTAAGGACACGTGCTCAACAAGGCGAGGGCATATGAGGTCCGATCCACTTATCACACTGTTGTCTTGCAAGCTCTCATGAGGTTCATTTGAAAGCAAAGGCATGTTATCAGCTTCATCTTCGTTGGTCAATAGCCGGGTGTAGGTCCACTCCCAGGTCTTGATTCATTGCTATGCACCATGCGATCAATCCGCCTGGTGTGTACTGGATTTCGGTATCGCGAGTAGGGACAGATAACAGCGGTACTTGTCCAGACGTTGGGCGACCAGATTACAGTTCTTGTAACTTTCCAGCGAGATTTTGCTTGAACGTATGGTGTCAGCGACAACGCGAAGAAGATCACCTCAAGTAAAACGTTGGCAGCTTTAACCTCAACTCCCGCTTCACCGATCTCTATCTGTGGCAGTGGGTGCACTCGCACATTGTCGGCGCACTCAACCCGTCGTCGTCGTCTTCGAGCGCGTACTCTGTTTGGCTATCACCAGCACTATCAACAGCAACGATATCGTGATAACGAGCAGTTTGTCGCTCATTCAGCGTCAGCGTGCGGTTCAGTCTTTCGTTGTCTAGGTCTCGAACTAGGTATGCTTTTGAGACGTCAGTATAATCCAAAAAAGTGCAGCGGTGTGACCTCGCGTCCCACTTCGTCCTCTTACTCTTGTCAAGATGCACGTACCCGGAAGATTTAAATACCTGAAGGTGCTCAAGTGAGTGCTGCGTACCAATGAGAACTTTTATTGGAGCCTTGTCGCGACGCACAGTGTTCTGGATACGGTTCACCACATGAGCAGCTCTCATTTGGTCTCTCCCCGCCAGTGTCGCTCCACGCCCATGCGATATATCATCGCTCGGGCCATTTCGGTCAACGTGCGGCCCAATCTCTCCGCCAATCCATTCTGTTGCGGAGAATACGGAGCGCTTTTTTGATGCTCGATGCCGTTGATGGCACAAACCCGATTGCATTTTGCATTGATGTACTCTCCAACGTTCTCACTACGAACACACTTGCGAGTTCAAGGCGCCAGTTTGGTACCTTGAACTTGCGAAAGCGATCAAAGCCTTGTGTATTTGAAGAAGGCAGATACATGTAGACGTATCTACTGAAGTCGGCGAAGAACGTGAGCACATACGAGGCTCAACTATTCGATATGAACTTCATGGGGCCCATGACATCAGTTTTTATGACTTTCAGAAGGCTTCTAGTCTTGACTTCACAGCCGAAACTTCGTGCAAATGGACTTATGGCCATCTTGATTTGAGCACAGCCACCACAAAAGGCAATCGCGTTGTCTTCTTCATGTTGAAGCTCAAGCGGTCCATCACTTATTTTGCAACAGCTTGCATTGTCGACGCAAAAAATGGACCAGTCGAGCGTGCCATAACGCTCTATCTCCGCAGTACTGGTATCTACCTGGATGGCTTGTTCTTCCTTGAGATGTTGAAATGCCACACGAACAACTTACCATTTCGATAAATTACGTCTAGCGCTTCTGCATTCGTCACTTGCGTCGCTTGATCGCGCTTAAACTGCACGACAATGCCACGTTCCGTCAACGCCGAAAACGGACATCAGCTCGGATCCGATTGGAGCTGGTGCCCAATACAGAACGTCTGTCAACTTGATAATTTAACTATTCTTAACAGCAAAGAGCACGGATTTTTTTTCTTTGGTTAGCAATTGCTGTCCACTAGCCGCGGTGATGCTGAGTGACATTTGATACTCCATATAGTTCATCTTCTCATCCATCATGTAGCAGTCAAGCAGCCAGGTAACATTTCGTGCTGAACCAACCATTGTGGCCAGTAAACTTCTCCTCCAAATTCCTCAACTCAGGACAGTCGTCACGCTTGTGACCGTACTCATTGCAGTTAAAGCATCACCCACAACATGTTGGTTTAGTATTCTGGTTCTGGTGCTGTCCACGATCAAACGTCTACCTCGACCACCACATCGGCCTGTGTTACCTCTCCCACGACCGCCTCGAATACCTTGCTCGTGCATTGTGGTTTTGAATGCTTGATCTTTCTCCTTTCGTGGCTGTTGTACGTCTCGATTATACGAATCATTGCATCATGGTCCGCTGGTGAAGGTCTAAGTAAAACGGTCAGTTTCTCGTCCTCATATACCACCACACCTACCGCAGCCAACCGCGAACACATATCATCAAACTTCACGATGTGCTTTATCAAGCCTTCCCCTGTGTGTAGCGAAAATCCATGCAGCTCTTTCTTCGATTGCACACAACTTTGAAGTAACTGCTTCACGAAGAAAGCACACATCGTTTCCCATGCGTCAAACGCAGAATCCGCGTCACGAATTATCGATTGGTAGGTTGGACTTAGCATTTGGGCCACAGTAGCCAGCGCCTTCATTTCGGCGTCCAATAACCTCTCCGTCCAACGTCGCGCTGCGTCTTTTGGCTTCATTGCTTCGAGGCCCCTTCCTGACCGAACGCCGAGCTTCCACATGTAGTGATTGTCGTCAGGTGAATATCTCGTTGGGCTTGAAGCGTTTGTGCTCATAACCTTTAACGATGTCTTGTAACTCGCATCGCAGAACTAAAAGCAGGTTACCTACCAGAGCTCTAACTAGCTCCCAACCACTTACGCTTGTTCTAGAACACCTCGCAACTTAGTTTTCTAGAAAGTTCCATTTAAACTTGCAAGTTGTCGTTGTGCACCGTACACAAATCTGTGACGTGGCGTCACATAACTACAACAAGTGATGAGAAATGTAATGAGGTAGTCCCGCTAAATAAGTGATAAGGGTAATTACATGTATTTTTGAGGGAGTAATAGCTTATATACTACTAGTTCGAAGTAGTGCTGAAAGTTACATTAACATATATCTAGAAAAGGTAGAAGTCAAGACTTATAAGTAGTTTTGATCCAAACACTAGTAGTCAAGCAGCCCGTTGTGTGACTGACAAAGATCTGGGTTTCGAACAAAAATAAACAGAATTCAATACGCAAGGTAATTAAGAGGCTTTATCTAATTATTGGTGTATGCTAAAGGAGCGAAATCTTTACACCATGGCACAGGGACAGCAGCACACATCTCCTCTCTTACGGTCCTGCCAGCGCCAAACAAGAAATACTCTCGTCCTTTTTAAGTGCCCATTAATGCGTGCGGCCTCCCATGGGCACTCATCCCTTCCAGTTTATTTCGCCGCCAGATCCCTGATCTCATCAGGACACATAAAATCGTGATCCGGTCTTCTTGTCCCGAGGAACAATTCGCGTATATTTTTTGTTCATCCCACGCAGAGAATATAGTTCATTCATGACTCAGTCCTGGGTTGACTATAAATGCCACAAGGTTAACACTTTGCACAGATAAAGTTTTGATCCACGTGTTCGTGTCTACAAACGCACAGATGTTGGGTCCTGGCTACCAGAAACGGCACCTAAAGCATCTCCTGCAACTAGGTGTGTTATTTGCTCTTTTGTATATATCTAGGGTAAATGCTAATACGAAATATCACAATTTCGTATCAAATCCCATAAAACTGGCTTTATTTTTCAAAATTTACATATAAAAGTGAAGCGACACATCACAGACAAACATACTCACTCCATTATAGATTTAGTTCCTGTACTTCGTTGAGTTTGTGCCTGTTAATTCTTTTTGCTGCCGCTTCATACGTCGGTCTTTGTTGCTCCGCTTTTTGTATAAAATGTATCTGCCAACATAAAGAATCGCTTTATCTCTGTGTCAAAGCAGCCATCAGTCTTTTCTTCAATTGTCTGTTGATCACCCTGTCAGCTTCTTTGTCTGCGATTAAAATTGACTACAAATCTCGACATTAAGTTTTGAGTACTTCACAAATTTAAATGTTTTGGTCCCACTTAATTCGAGTTTAAGCTACATGACCCAGCCGTAGAATGGTATTAATCACCGAGTCTGAGCGTAAGGATTTCGAGGATATTTTGGGTAGCGGCGGTATCCTCCGACGAATGCTAACAACCAACAATGATGGCATTCAAGCAGGTATTACAGCTGATTATCTTTTATTTTCGATTAAATTATAGCACCGTCTTCATCGTAACGTGGAATTGTGAATGATGTCTAGAATTTGGCGAAGAAGTAGGTGTGAAATACTCAGCTTGGGTCCTAAAGTCTGGTCAAAAGGTTGCAATAGATGAGACACGAAAATTCCGTATTGGAGACGGTGAAGTAATGCCAGCTCTTGAGCTCGTGGCCAAGATGATGCATGTGGGTGAAGAGTGTGAAGTGCGTTGTGATGCTCGTTTTGCCTACGGAGACGTGGGTTTAGAGCCTTACGTAGCACCAGGAGACGAAATAAAGCTTCTCGTTGAATTGTGTCGTGTTGGCAAGCGAATGACGTCTGAAATGAGTTCACAAGAGCTCATCATTGAAGCTACACAGAAGAAAGAGAGTGGTAATCGCTACTTTAAGGAAAAGAATTACGACCAAGCGGCGAAATTATACAAACGTGCTTTAAAATTATTAGAGATGTGGGAGCATACAGAAGAAGACACAGCACAGTGCAAGGAGCTGCTGATTGCACTTGGCAACAATGTAGCGAATGTACAACACAAATTGCTACAGTTTAAAGAAGCGCGTCAGTCCAGTCTCGAGGTTTTGCAATTGGATGGCAAGAACATCAAAGCCATGTATCGTATTAGCCAAATTGCGTTAGATCAAAGTGAATTTGAAGAAGCGAACATGTTTTTGCGTAAGGCATTGGAAATTGAACCTGAGAACAGTAAAGTGCGGCAGCTGCTGGTAAAACTAAAAAAGAAGAAACGTGATCAACAAGCTCGTGAGAGAAAGCTGTATGCCAAGCTCGGTGGCGACAGAACATCAAATCCTGTAAAGACAGGAAAACTTTCGGTGCTACTATCCATCATACGACGAAATGCAGCGATAATTGCCGCTGTGGCCATCGTTATCGTTGCAATCCTTGTGCACGTATTCGTTGGCGAGTCAAACCGTGAAATTTTTGAAAGCCCAGATAACAACGTCAATGCTACTGAGTAGGTATCAACTGCGGTCAAAAGCCTAGTTGATACGTTGATAATCTAGAAAGTAAGCAGTGAATGAATAGTCTTTATCATTGTTTCTGGGCAGAGTTAAGTAAAGAAAAAACACATCAACTCTTGTGAGTCAGAAAACAAGAGGCACTTAACATCAATCATGATGAAATCTCCTAGAAAGTGACTGCCTTAATTACAACATCAAACGTTCCTCTTAACCGTTCGCTCTTCATTCCTAAATCTTTAAAGCCGAGTTCACCCTTGACTACTGCCAGAAAAATGACTCGATCTTCAAGAAACGGACTGTTTACTCATGTCAAAGCTCAAGAGGAGCGAAAACTCGTTGATAAGCTTCGCGACATTGGTCTCGGACAGTACATTGAGTTGCCACAGATTGCAGTCATGGGTGACACTTCGAGTGGAAAATCGTCGCTTTTGTCAGCACTGTCAGGCGTGGCCTTCCCATCGAATAACCAGCTTACGACGAGATGTCCTACACAGCTCGTGCTGACTCGCGCTGATACTTTTCAGGGTACCGTGAAGCTTGTGCGATTTGAGTCGAGCGATAATGATGAGAATAACGAGGCGGAAGATTTGAAAAGGATGGAGGATGTTCCCGATGCGATCACTAAACTTACTCAAAAACTTGTAGATGAAGGCCAGTATATTAGTGACGACCAGATTGTGATTGAAATGTGTGGACCTGAGTTACCCGATCTGACACTCACAGATTTGCCGGGATTAGTGCGTACTGTTGGAGATCATGAAGACCAAAGTATCATTTCAAGGGTTCGTGAGATGGTAAATCGATATATGAAACAGGAGCGAACTGTCATAATTGCTGTAGTACCAGCCAATGTGGATATGCACAATACCGAAATTCTTCAAGCGGCTCAAGAAGCTGATCCGACTGGTACACGTACGATTGCAGTAGTGACAAAGATGGATCTGGTCGATGGTGGTGCTGAGTCAGCAGTACACGATCTATTGCTTAACAAGAAGAAAAAAATGCGTCTAGGCTATCATGCAGTCAAGTGTCGTAATCAACGTGAGTTGACAGAGGGGGCGAGTATCGAAAAAGGGCTGGAAAATGAAATTAGTTTTTTTAGTCGGCACGAATACTGGCGCCGACTGCCCTCCCATTTATGGGGTATCGCTACTTTAACTGATCGACTAGTTTTGATCCTGCAGGACAATATTCGACGTTCATTGCCAAAAGTCATTGAAGAGATTAATTGTCGAATGGCTGAGACACAAAAATCGTTAGCGAGCTTGGGTACAGCACTGGAGACGCCTGGTGCTCAACGACAGCAATTTGGTAGATGGATTGATCAGTATCTTCGCTTAATGGAAGCAGCAATGGAAGGACGGTATGAGTTATTGCCAGTGTCGTCATCAATGATTTCACAAATTACGAATGTGGAAAATACTCGACTTCGAGCGGTACTTCGTGTCGAGGAAGGCGTTTTTCGCGAGGCAATCAACGAGTCCAAAAATCATGCTACTGGAATCAATAAAAATAAATCTCAAGAAGAAGTTGCGATAGGAGATGCAGTAGAGGTTTGTCTCGATAATGTGTGGCAAAGTGGACGTGTGACAGATGTCAATGAGTCCAAAATTTGGTGTAAGCTATCTGACCAGTGGATTCATGCTCAATATTGGCGATATGATGAGTGGGCAGAATTGAAGCAGTTTATTCGCGAAAATCGTGGCGATGAGCTTGCGATTTTCACGTCGTACCAAGTATTTTGCAATTTGATTCGACAATGTGTCGACAAGTGGCGCCCACCAGCTGAAAAACTCTTGGTGTCGTATCAAGCTCAGACAAAGATGGTGTCAGATTTTGTGTCGATTAAAATCGACGCATCTAGACGAGTCGTACAATTTCTTCGAAGTTCGGCGGATGATGTACTTAATAGTGTTGTCGAAGCTGCTAATCAAGAGGTTGAAAATTTGTTGCGAGCAGAAGGGAGACCATATACGCAAGACGCACGTTTATTTGAGGAGATTTACGAACAACGACTGGAAGCTCTTCAAAAGCAATTAAATACAACTGTGCCAGTTGGAGAAGATGGAAGAGTTAATCTTTCTGAGGTCTTAAAAGCTATCAAGTCGGCGGCTTTATCGACAGAAGATCGAGAAGCACTTGAGTTAAAGGTGGCTTTGGAAGCGTATTTAGATGTGGCTATTCCTCGCTTTGTAGATGCAATTCCAATGCGACTAAACGACTTTGTTCTGCGCAAGTTTGTCTCAAGAATGTCGAGTCTACTCAACGGTCTAACGGATGAACAGCTAGCAAGATTGATGCAAGATTCGGAGCTCAAGATCGCTGAGCGCCAGCAATTAAGGGAAGAATTTGCTTGTCTTGCAAGTGCAAAGAAGGAAATTAAGCTGGTCTGCTAATCCCGATTCAGATTTGGTATGTGTCCGATGCTCATTGCTAAAGAGATGCTCCACATCTTAGGCAAGAGTTCTATATTCTCTGAGTACATAAGTTTGTAGACAATTTGAAGAGACAGCATTTCAGAGTTAAAGTCAATTATGTTTCAAGGATATAGAAGATAGCTCTTGTTTTGAAAGAATGATCAATTACTCTACGCAAAACAAATCCTATTTTGCTGTCATTACAAAGGATTTTTAAGCCAATTATTTCAAATGGAGTCGGTCAACGCGAAGCACTTTGAGCTGTCAGATTAGAAATACTTCGAATCGTAGAAGAACTTGGTTTGGTAATCCTTGCCAAGAATTTCCGTGATCGCTTTAGCCGCATCCAATTGGCCGCTGAAATCCACACGCTTGTCTTTAGCAGCACCAGCACCAGTGTTGTTATACTCTTTAAAGTACACATTTTCCGTCGATTCGTTCTTGAACGTCGTCCATCCTTTAGGGTCGACGACTGAGTCAATCCAGCAGTTTTGTACAACAGTACGAGCATATTGGCCCCAAGGACGACCCAAAAACGTCAAGTTCTTCGGGGCCATGAAGCTGTAGATACTCGAGTTGTTGATCACAAACTCAGATTGAATCTCGCTTTGATTGTTGCCATTAGCGGTGATCCAACCTTCACCAGTCGTCTCAATGCGGCACTGGTCGAACCATGCCATGCCTTCCCTGCCACTTATGAGGTTCTCGGCGCCTTGAATGTATGTGTCGACAAAAAGCTCAAGGCCACGATTCGCAGTAAGAGCACCACGTTTGCTCTTAATCTGGCACCCATAGAACCCGTAATCCGACTGGTCAATGTACACAGCGCCAGCACGTCCACGGTCTTCGGTCGCGCTAGCAGTGTTTTCAACATTGATATTGTACACTTTCACGCCGCTCTTGGAGGTGAACGCCAAAGTACTCGACAAACGGTTGCGGTTGTTTTGGATCTCGGGTGCAATGTCGTCCGATGCCTTGGCATAGGTGATGGTTACCTGGTTTGAAGTGTACGCCTTTGAGTTGCAAGTGTATCCGTGGATAACCAGAGGACCAGCAAGTTCCGAGACAAGAACTTGTTCTTGGTACACGCCTGAAAAAATGAACACAGTGTGGTTATCAGTCGTGTTTGGGATGTGGGCTACACCCTCAGCAATCGTTTTATAGCTGCCGTCATATTTGCCCGAGGCGTCGACGACGATAGCACCAACTGGGGGCTTAGTCATTGCGTCAGGTCCATCACAACTATCAGCAATAAGAGGTGGAGATACTTGTGGTGTCCATTCGCTCGGACTATGACAATCAGCGTCGTGGGCAGCAACTGCACTCAATGTGAGGCTAGCGACAGTCAAGAATGGGGCAGTGAACACTTTCATTGTTGATGGTTTGATGTCCAAGGAGAATACAAAAGTAAGCAAAGAAGAATGACAAGGGCCCAGCTGCACATCCCATTAGGGCTTTAAGACAATCCTCGAGATGCATCATAAAAATCCATTGGTCTCATTACAAATGAATGTTCCTTTTGTGAAGAAGAAAAAAAACGGAGCCTGCTGTTCAACGAATGGCAGTCTTTCCAATTCTTAGAATCAAGCTTTTTCAAAACTCAATCTGATTCGACAAAATGCAACCAGCTTTGCACTTCAAACTTATTTGTGGTCAATTTGTGGTCAATAGCTCATCTAAGCGCTTGTCTCTTGATACCCCATCTCGGGATCAGATCGAGAAGGTATCCTCTGTAAACTTGTCGCAACTAAGATTTGGCATGTGTTCGATGCTCCTTACAATTTGTTTGCTGTAGCGATACTCGAACGTGATCATGCGTTCTCGCACGTGCTTTTTTCATGCACTAAAATCCCATCATTGTCATTGAAAATTAAATGGGCTCTTTCGTGGAGAAAGTCTTCAACTATTTACGAGATGCTCTCGCCGGACGAGATTTTTCAACCTGATTCGAAATTGTAACCATAGAAATTTGTTTGACTATTATCAAGCACAGACAGAAAGAGAAGAGTTGTAGCTCTTCGAGTCTGTAAATTCGTATATCATTCGAAACAGAAAGCGTCCAGTTGTTGATAAAGTTCAATTTTACACATCGCGTGTCAAAACGCGAGAAAAAAGGAGTTTAGTCTCACAGAATGGTTATCTAATCTACGCATTACGGATCCTATCCTGCTAAAGAATTTTGACTCAAAATTCAAATCTATACAAATGATGGATCGGTCCACGCGAAGCCTTTTAAGCTACCAGATTAGAAATACTTCGAATCGTAGAAGAACTTGGTTTGGTAATCCTTGCCAAGAATATCAGAAATCACCTTGGCCGACTCCAATTGTCCGCTGAAATCCACACGCTTGTCCTTAGCTGCACCAGAACCAGTGTTGTTATACTCTTTAAAGTACACATTTTCGGTCGATTCATTCTTAAACGTCGTCCATCCTTTGGGGTTAACGACTGAGTCGATCCAGCAGTTTTGGACAACAGTACGAGCATATTGACCCCATGGACGACCTAAGTAAGTCGTGTTCGCCGGCGCCAGGGCGCTGTAGATACTCGAATTGTTGATCACAAACTCAGATTGAATCTCGCTTTGATTGTTGCCATTAGCGGTGATCCAACCTTCACCATTTGTCTCAATGCTGCACCTATCGAACCATGCCATACCTTCCCTGCCACTTATGAGGTTCTCGGCACCCTGGATATATGTGTCGACAAAAAGCTCAAGGCCCCGATTCGCAGTAAGAGCACCACGTTTGCTCTTAATCTGGCACCCATAGAACCCGTAGTCCGACTGGTCAATGTACACAGCGCCAGCACGTCCACGGTCTTCGGTTGCGCTAGCAGTGTTTTCAATATTGATATTATACACTTTCACGCCACTTTTGGAGGTGAACGCCAAAGTACTCGACAAACGGTTGCGGTTGTTCTGAATCTCTGGTGCAATATCGTCCGCAGCCTTGGCATAGGTGATGGTCACCTGATTTGCAGTGTATGTTTTTGGACTGCAGGTGTAACCTTGGATAACCAGAGGCCCAGCAAGATCCGGAACAAGAACTTGCTCTCGGTAGGTACCCACGTAAATAAAGAGAGTGTGGTTATCTGTCGTGTTCGGGATGTGAGCTACACCCTCAGCGATAGTTTTATAGCTGCCGTCATATTTGCCTGAGGCGTCGACGACGATAGCACCATGTGGGGCCTCCGTAATTCGGTCAGGTCCATCACACTTGTCAGCAAAAGACTCAATTGGAGCTGTTTGTGCTGTCCATTCACTCGGAGTATGACAATCAGCGTCGTGGGCAGCAACTGAATTTAACGCAAGACTTGCGAGAGTTAAAAGAGGGGCAGTGAATACTTTCATTGGTGAAGTCTTGAAGTGTTTGATGTCCAAGGAAAATTTTTAAGTAAGTTAAAAACTGGGTCATGGACAGCAGCACATCCCATCTAGGCTCTAAGACTATCCGCAATTTATCCACAAGAATCCAAAGGCTTCATTACAAATATTTCTTCTGACGCAATGATGCTGTATGTATAAGGACCCAACTCTTCTCGTACGGTACGTTAATTATTCGTCCTTGAGGAATCCACTCCGATGTTAAATATACAATACAATGCTTTGTGTTATCATTGCCCATATTTATAGGCCTACCAACTTATGGGTCCCATCCCATGATCAATACGACAGAATCGGTAGCTTACCCTGGAAAACAAATGTCATACCATATGAATCAGCAAGTATGAGTATTAGAATGCTCCGCATAATCGGCTGCCGCCAAAGTAACTCGTTTTCGAATCATGTATCCTGCGTTTCGTTTATGCGCTAAAAACGATGTATATGATGTGATAGAGTCGGTAGTATGCCATGATGGATTGTATAATCTCTCAAGGCTTACTAGAAATCTCAGGAAGCTCAAAAAAGTCATACATTCGTTCTTTAAGGAATATTTCTGGATATTTCAGCAGCAAACAATGCGGTTTCGACCAGTCTAGCGTCAATAAACTGGACATTGCTCTTGCGTGAGGGAAATATCGAGGATAGAACAAGACATTTTTCTTCTAAGACTATATCTTCAGAACTTCAAGATAATTTCTGTTAAATTGTTTAATTATCTGACTGTGAGAAACAATTTTGTAAACCTGGAACATTTCAGGATAGTTTGAAAAATGCATAAAACTGCATGCAGTCCGTTTGCTGACACATAGAAACTAGACTCGTTGTGGTGCTCCTCACTGAAACTAAAGAATGTCATATAGAGAGTATAAGTTAGCCAGCTTATTACTAACAATCTAAATTTTATGCTCTACTACATAAAATAGTAAAACCCTCGTAATGCGCCTATACTCCATAATCAGTCGTAATACTTCAACTTAAAACTTCGCGTAAGTCCGAGGGACAGTGTAATGAGGACGCAAGCCATAATAGATCCAGTAGGTAGGGGAGGTACATGCCCTTTATTGTGTACCTACACATCGCACGTCAAGCTGTAGCATCAGGGTTGCACTGAATACGAGTGAGTTTATAGAACTCAAGGATGGAGAGGTCCGCGGAAGATGTGATAGCGCATGTATATATTCAATCACACACTAAAAGAATACATTCTCTTACACTCAACCTGTGACGTTCGGCTAACCCCACGGCCTCCTCCCTTTTAAATTTTCATGATCGTCATAATTATCATCACAAATACCGTACTCAGCAAAGCATAACCACTACAAAAAGCACAAATTCTCCTTTCTTGGCCACTTTTACGACGGGGTTACACGTACCCTTGAATAATGTGTGAGTCACATGACCGTACACAGGTGTGAATTACACAGATTGGTGTAATCACACAATGGTGTGGTTTCACCGTAACAAGAAGTCACTACGTGGCATTTTTTGACATGATGGAAGCGCCGTCTGATAGTGCGCTAAGCTGAAGCAATCCTGGCAACAGAGCAGGACTGCCAGTAGTTACGCCTAAATTCAATCTGGCTAGTTAATAAAAAAATGAGAGAATAAAAAAAACTAATATTTTAGATAGAGGCTGTAACGGGTTACACGTACCCTGGTAACAGGGGTGTGTGTCACACGAGATATCCATGGTGTGACTGCATCCAAACAAGAATACGGTATGTGGCTAGGTAGCCAAGTAGTCCTGCATGTATTTAGATTTTACTGTATACATTTAGTTACATTTAAAATTAGGCGGTTTAGCCGCAGATAAAAGTAAAAATAATCAATTTGAATTTTTCCAAAGAGTTTATTAGCCTTGTTTAAGGTAGTAACTACTCTTGGAGGTGGCGGATTGCGATCCGCTACACTCGTACTGGTTCTTGTAAAGAAC